TCATTTCATGGGAATACCCTGAACCTGCAATCACGGCTTCAATTTTTGAATTGCAGAATAATTGATGCACTATCTAGTGTATATAAGATATCTATGACCCTGGCCCAGGACTAGAGGCTTTTTTGTATGTTAAATGGAAAATCAGAGTACTATTGTATAAAACGTGAATTGGAAAATAATGTTGTTTTAACGTAGTCGAGCGCCGGGCGGCGAGCAAAATGGTGAAGTGGAAAACGGGCTTAATGTTGTCGAAGTCTTTTTTTAACACTGCTGTTCTGGAAAGCAAATTAATTTTGGCTTGGAAATAAGTATGAAAGAAACAAATTATTTATTATCTTTACAACATTTACCATTTATTCATTTGTGTCATTCAGACTTATTTCCGAGTCAAAACTGAACTGAAGATCATCGGACATATGTTCGACCCAAACTCAACGTCACCGGACATTTTGTCAGACGGCCCTGTAAAATATATTTTAAGGCCTGCTTTTCTGTTTCTCATTTTAGTTCTATTTTCTCTGGATATCTTTATAGGACGAACCATTTACAGATCATCTTCCTGAGGCATTATTTAACATCGCTCGTTATCTGCTGCATTTACTGTTGAAAGAAACGCCATTGGGAATTTCTAGAGTGTATCCTTTGTAGTTATGGCGTTCTCTTAAGAAAGGTGTTCGTTTGTGTCGGCCAGTGCTGCTAGCTACATATGCCAAAATGTACCAATTTAGGCTGAACTGTTTTTTCTCGAAATTTTTTAAATGCGTCCCTTTGCCATCGGGCTATATGCTCAATTATTATTTGCTATTTTATCAACTTTGGACTTGGCTTCATTTCAGGAATACTTAATTGTTCGCTGGATATTGCCAACCAAGTTATCCTCTTACAATGACATTTATATTTCAAATACAATTAACCGCTATACAATCAATGCTTGAGCAAAAACGTCTTATACTTTCTTGAGAAAATCATGTGAAATAGCCAGAAAGGAGATAAAAGGCCAAACAATATTTGAAGCTAAAGGAAACCTAGTAATTTCTAATCCTGCCCCTGAGATTTTTTGTATCGAGGTATCTATAGGCTAGTCTGAGATAGTACAATTAATGTTTAGTATCCTTAATCTTAGTCTAGTGCTACATTGTTCGCACTTTCCAAGCAAGGAAAACATCTGGGTGCCTACAAAATGGCACGCTATGCTTACGATAAATTACAGGTTGTTAGATTATCTAATATAACTGTATGATTTCGTAAACGTTCATTGCTTCGTGCATTTGATTGAATTGTTTTTGTTTCCAGTCCCTCAAGGTGCCTGCGCGGTTTCAAGAACTGATTGATGTTGGAAGTATAACAATCAGATCAAAACCTTTCTCTGATAATGAGGTAATATTGCAAATATTTTATTTAATGTCGACTGTGGTTGCCCAATTCACCCGAGTCAGAGGTTCACGGTTCAAGTGCTTAAA